CAGATGGGGAGGAAGGAGCTGAGCCTCTGGCAGCACCTGCTCCCCCCTTCCCCCCCTTCCCCAAGGCTGCCTGATGCTGCTGCACCCCCTCCCTGCGCCCCGGCCCCTCCCGCGGGCCGCTGGCCAAGGCCATCCCCAAGGCTGGGAGCTGGGGGCCAGGGGAGCTGGAGGCACGCGGCTCCCCCCCAGCCAAGGTCCCCGCCGCCAGGATCCTTTCCGCAGCCCAGCGTGGCAGGGAGGGATTCCGGAGGGTCAGCCTGAGAAGATGCAAACCCTCAGGGAATTATTTCCCCCCAGCATCACCTGGCAAGACATTCCCCGGCCGCACGGGTGCTAAAAACCCCTCGGGCTCATCTGTATTAAACATTCATCCTCTGTTATTCTTGACCACCTCCCTTCTTCTGAAGACCTGCAAAGCCCCGTAAGGCTCAGAGCGTGAGGTTGACCCCCAGCTCTGACACTGCTCCACCCTACGTCCTTGGGAGAGTTGTTTTTCCACCAAGGGGGGTGGCGGGAAGAGATGGGGAAATGTGGGGGGAAGGTGTCTGCGGGGTGGAGAGAAGAAGGTTTGGAGGGAAGGAGAGAAGGATGGATGGATGGATGGATGGATGGATGGATGGATGGATGGATGGATGGGGAAAGGAAGGATGGATGGTTGCAAGAAGAGGGGAAACCCTGGATGTTTCTTAGTTCCTCCGTGGTGGGTCTAACCCTCAAGACAAATATCCTCAGCTGAGCCCTTGGTGACGGGGAGAGCCTGGGCTGGCAGCGGGGTGCCAGCGGCTCTGCTCTGGGCTGGCAGGAAGGAAGCAGCTACCGCCTGGCGCTGAAGCGGATGGCGGGGGACCTCCTGTCCCTGCGCCAGCACGTCGCCAGCCTGGAGGTGGAGAACGGGCACCTGCGGCGCAGCCTGGCCTCGCAGGAGGAGCTGGGCCACGCTCTGCTTGCCGATGCGGACCTGGACGTCATGACCCGGGAGGAGCTTCTGGACAGGCTTGGTGCGTGATGGGGAAGGCAGAGGGGTGGAAATTAGGGGACCCCTCTCCCTCACGCAGCGGAGGGGACGACACCATCCCCTGGCCGGGTGCCAAGGATGTGGCACGGACTCTTGCAGCCACCCTCAAGCGCAAGCTGGTGGCCAGCACAGCGGAGATGAGGAGGCTGAAGGACCGTGTCCAGCAGCTGCAGAACGAGCTGATCCGGGTACGGACGCCGGCAGGAGCGGGCAGGGGCTGCCCGAGGGACGGGGTGGGGGTGGAGGAGCAGGGGGGCAGCAGGGAGAGCATCACGGCACCCCCATAGCCAAGCAAGTGCCTGAGAGCCCCAGGACCCCCACCACGAGGCTCTCCCAGCCCTACAAGTGATGCCCCAAGACTTGAGGCTCGGCACGGAGGTCCCTGGGGGTTTTCCCCTTCCTCCCCCCCCCCAGAAAAAGGACCGGGAGAAGGACCTGGTGCTACTCCAGCGAGCCCACTGGCAGCAGCAAGCCACGCTGAGGAGGTGCCAGGAGAAGGTGGCCAAGACGAAGGGCTTGGGGGAGACGGTGCAGCAGCAGGAGAAGGTGAGTTGGGGGGCACGAGGTTGGGAGTGAGAAGGGCAGGTTGAGGGGCACGAGGCTCTTTGGAGAAGATGGGACCCTTTGGCCTGTTCCACCCCTCTGCAAGCACTACCTGGTGCCGGAGGGGATGTGATGGCCACCACAGCCTTGCATCGAGCTGTCCCCCGTGCCCTGGTGACGCGGGGACGGCTCTGCTCTCTCCCGCAGGTGATTGAGGCGATGGAGCGGATGCTGCAGGAGAAGCTTGCCGGGGCGGGCAGGAGCGCTGAGAAGCTGGCGGGTGGGTGCAAGTGGGGACGGGGACCCTCGGGGGGGCCACCCCCATACAGCTGCTGGGGTCCGCTGGTGGCCATCCCCTTCTGATGGTTTGCACCATGGGATGGTTTGCGGTGGGGGATCAGAGGAGGTCCTGAGCTCCCTGTCACCCATCCCTGGGCATGAGGGAGATGGGGGCTTGCTCCTAGCCCCCATCTCTGCATGGGGCGGGGAGGGGGGGGTAGGACAGGTCCCAGTGGCCCCCCACCCCATCCCACAGGCGAAGCGCTCTCCGGGGAGGTGTACGCCGTGCTGCTGGCCGAGAACCGCAGGCTGAGGGAGGAGCTGGCGAGGCCCCCCCACCGCTCGGCCCCCATCGCCCTGCGGCCCCCAGCCTTACCGGTGAGACCAGGGAGGGGGTCACGGGGTGGGAAGGGGGGCAGAGCCGTGGCACCCCAGCAAACAACACCAGGGGGTGACTGGGTACGCCGGGGGCATCCCCCAGGTGGCATCTCTGGCTCTGTGGGGCGATAGCCATCCCCGTGAGCAAGGGGTGGGAAGGGGGGGATATCCAGCGTTGCCTTTCCCCACTCCTGCTCATCTCGTGGCCTGCAGGGTGTTTTTGGGGACACGGAGAAGCTGTCTCTGCTGGCCAAGCTGGAGGAGGCACGAGCCCGCGGGAGGGTGCTGGAGAGGCAGGTGGGCATCGCCCTCCCGCACCCCGCTTGATGGCGGGGGGCTTGGGGTGCTGGGCTGGGGTGGGGGACACCTCTGGCCCCCACGCCTTGGAGAGAGCCAGCCTGGTTTGGGTCTGTCCCAGCTGGAGGAGGCATCGAGGAGGTGGGGACGGGAGAAGCAGGACCTCGGCACTCGTCTGCTGGAGCAGCAGCACGGCTTCCCCCACGCCCCTGCCTCGGTGAGCACCCGGGGCGGGGGGACACCAGGGCCACCCCACATGGGGGCTGGCAGCTGGTGTTTGCTGCCAGGGGGACGGAGGGTGGCTCAGAGCCAGCCCTCTGCACCCAGGCAGCTGGGGTGGGGTGATAGTGGGGGGTCTCCATGCCCGCCCCCACATCAGGGGGGATTTGCCTCAGTTTCCCTGCAGGACCCTGGGCAAGAGGAAGGGGGGTGGGTGGTCTCTAGGGCCACAGGACCCCCTCCCGGCATCCCAGGATATGCCCCCCCACCAACCCCAGACCCCCTTATCGCAGCCCTCTCATCTAGAGCCGATGCCTCCCAGGGGAGTGGGGAGGGGGGGATGGATTTACAGCTCCCTGAGACCTTTTCCCATTCCCCACCAGAACCTGCCGGTGATCCCCACGGCCCCCCTGAGAAGACCCCAGACCCTGCCCCCCCTGCCCTAGCCTGCGCCCGGCGAGAGAGACGGAGAAACCTAACGCTGGCAAAAAGGAGCCGGTGCTTTTTCACAAGATGAAATTACAGAGCAAGTTCGAGGCGAAGCAAAACATTAGAGGGTGTCGGGGGAGCATGGCCGCGATCCCCGGCCTGGTCCCTGGGGACCCCCGAGCAGCCGGAGGGGTGCAGCAGCAGCCACCCACCCCGCACCCCCTTGGGGGTTACAGGGGCGGCGGCGGGGCTGGTCCTCCGGTTTATCTCCCCTGTGGCGTAAGCGCAGCCTTGAGCGGGCTGGAGCGAAGGCAGGGATGTGCCGAGCCAAGGCTGTGGCCGTGAAAGCGTCCCAGCCGTCCCCCAAATCGCAACCCCGTGCCGGAGTCTGGCTGTAAGGAGCCGAAAGCGCCTGCCGGGCTGTTGGGGATGTCCCCCAAACCGGGACCAGCTGGGTGTCACCCGGGACTGGGCTCCTCACGCCCGGGACTCGAGTGGCCGTAAGGTCAGGTAGATGGGTTTGTCCGGGATCAGGATGAGATCGAACTTGGTCCCGACTTCCACCGCTCTCATGGTTTCGATCTTGAAGTTCTCCAGGATCTGGGATGGGGGAGAAAAGAGCAGATGGAAAACGCTGGAGGTACCAACACCTACGTGCCACCTCCCCGGTCCCTTCCAGCGCCAAGTCCCCGGCGTCCCCAGCAGCGGGATGCTCACGTGCATGAGGAAGAGCTGCATCTCCAGCTCGGCGATCCGGCGCCCCAGGCACTGGCGGGGTCCAAAACCAAAACCCAGCCCCTTGAAGTGCTTGGGACCGGCTGCCAGCCAGCGCTGGGGGCTGAACTGCTCCGGCTTGGGGAAGACCTTGGCATCCCGGCCCATGGCGTAGAGACCGACCTGCACCAACGTCTGCAGGGAAGGATCAGCCCTGTGGGTCTGGGCTCCCCACGGGGCTTCGCCAGCACTCGGGGTACAGGAAGGGGGTGCAGGGCTGGGATCCAGCCCCGGAGGAGCCCCAACGGCTGCTCCCCTCACGTCACCCACCCGTGCTCCAGGTCCCACCTCCGTCCAGAGCCCCATGCAAAGCGGGTCGGGGTGAGGAGGGAGCCGGTGGCCGTGCTCACCTTGGGAGGGATGCGGTAGTCCTGGAGGATGACCTCTTGCATGGTGTACCTCTGCAGGGTCACCGCCACGGGGTGCAGCCTGGGGGGGGACAGGTCCCACGGACCTGATTTTGGGGACAGCCTGGCCCGCCCACGTGCTACCTTGGTGCACGATGTCCCAACAGTGCCAGAGATTTGGGGAGGGGAGGGAAGGGGCTGGGGGGTGTTTTTCAGCAGGGGCTCCTCCTCACCTGAGCGTCTCCTTGATGGCGGCTTTGAGCAACCGGATGGTTTTCAGCATCTTCACCCTGTCCCCCGCCGCCTCCCGCTTGGCGGCCAGGACCTCTGCCCGCAGCTGCTCCTGGATCCCCGGGGACCGTGCCAGCTCGAACATGGCCCACTGCAGCGTCATGGAGGTCTGGAGCGGGGCAGGAGAGCAAGGCTCAACACCAGCCAGGACCTTCTCCCTGGCCAACAACCCTGCCTGCTCCTTACCGTGTCCACCCCGCCCGCCATCATCTCGGTGATGCTGGCCTTGATGTCATCCAAGGGCAGCTTGTCCTGCATGATGAGGCTGCAGAGGATGCCCATGTACTCCTTGGTGCTCTTGCGTTGCAGCCGCAGGTCCCGGTAGACGTTTTGTATGCATTTGTCCGCTGAGGAGACACGGAGACACGGCGTGGTCTTCCTCCCCCAGGGCCATGGTGGAGGAGGAAGGCACCAGATGGGGCACCTTAGGACATCACTGCCCCATGCTGGTGGCTTTTCCATCACAGTTGTCCCTGCAGCAGCCTGGGACTGCGGTCCCCGCTGCGGGACCCAGCAGTGGCTGGGTGGGCAGAGAGGGTGGGGGGTGAGGGTGCCCCCCCGGGGGGGGGACACCCTGCAGGAGGGTTGTCCCAGGTGCCAAAAGCAGTGAGGGTGCCCCCCCGGGGGGGGACACCTTGCAGGAGGGTTGTCCCAGGTGCCAAAAGCTCTCTGAGGCCGCAAGCCCCTCTGGGAGAGCTGCTCCCCTAAAAGTGATGCCCATCATCTGCCCTCCGCTACTCCTGGCTGGTTCCCCACTGCTCTGTCCCACAAGCTCCAGATGTGGAAAGCCTTCCCGGCCTTGGTGGCAATGTCCTGGGTGGCTGGACCCAGGAGAAGGTCTCCACGCTGGTGAGATGAGGCTGCACTATGAAGCCAAGTCCTCAAAGGGGCCTTGGGTGACACAGGGAGGTGCGGGCAGGAGGAGCGCTCACCCTGGGTGAAGATGGCATCCCAGGCCTGGACATGGTCCCGCCACGTCTTGGCGTTGAGGTGGCGGAGCAGGGCGGGCGGCAGGTAGAGCATGGGCGAGGTGGTGTGGAACATCAGGGTCACGGCGTCGATGAAGCGCTGCGCCTCGGGGTCCACGAAGTCCTGCAGCAGCCCCAGCCGCTCCCCGTACAGCACGTGGCACACAGCTGCGAGCCAGCACCCATGAGGGGACCTGGCCAGAGGGGACCCCGTCCCCTCCACCCTCCCATGGCCAATTCCAGCCTTTCCACGGCTACAGGGACCTGACTTGGCCTCCTCCTCGCTCCGAGCATCACGGGGCCATGGAGGCATCCCTTGTTGGGTAGGGTTGGCTACCAGTTGATGACCGGTAGATGATAAAACAGTGTTTTATCAACAGCGTTGAGTTGTTCTCTACTTGTCTGGAGAGAGGACATCCCTCTAGACCCTACGGCTTTGGGGGAGAAGCTTGTTTGCCCATCTCTGAGGATGAAGCTGGGGGAAACGCAGCGTGTCGCCCATCTCGGGCACCATGCAAAGGGGTGTTTCGGGGGGGGGGGGGGGGGTGCTTTGCATGGGTCCCTCCACGCGGCTCCTCGCCTTCAGCTTGCCCCTGACACTCACACTCCAGGGCGAAACGGAAGAGCTCGTGGGTGAAGTCGGCCGTCCAGCTCTCCCGGCCGCTCTTCCCCACCTGGGCTCGTGCCCGCCGGACAAAGTCCTCGCCCACCTCACTCAGCAAAGGCACGAAACCCTCCACCACCTGCGGCGACAGCACCTCCTTGTTCAGCATCAGGCGGTCCGAGCGCCAGGCCTCCCCCGTCCTGCAGGACACCAAAGTGGGGGGGTCAGTCAGAGGCATGTCCCCCCCATCCACACCCCCGCGCCAGAGGATGCCACCCCCAAAACATGGGGCCAGCCAACGTCCCCATCACCCTCCTGATGCTCCAGCTTCTCACCGCCCCGTGTGCCGGGGCTATTGCGGTAGGACCTGGGAGCCCCATTTTGAGGGGAACCCCCCTGCCCCCCGACTCACTTGAGGAGCACGCCATAGGGCTTGTTGCGGTAGTCGCGGTAAGCCACCCAGGGGGGCACACTGAAGCGCTCCGGCAGTGTCCCCTCCGCCTGGAAGAGGGTGGCGGCGTCCCGGGGGCTGATGATGTTCACGCTCTCGTAGACACCCAGCTTCTCCCTGCCGGGGCACGGAGGGGGGTCAGCCCTGCACCCCAACCCCCACCTGCATCCCCCCGCAGCCCCTCATCTCCCCAGATCAACCACCTTCCCCCAGCACCCCCAAATCATCCACCCTCCCCCTCGCACTCCCCAAAATCCTGTCTGTGGGTCTCATCCCAGGGGATGCAGCGGCTCAGCACCAGGATCGGGCCCCAGGGCTCAGGCAGGCACGGGGGGGGGTGCTGGACCTGGACCTCCGCCCCATCCCTCTCTGCCTGAGGATGTCAGCTCCGGACCTTCGGAGATCACAGGGGGCAGAGCCCCGCTCCAGCCCTGCCGCCCCCTCCTCCCAACATCCCACATCTGCAAGGTACGAGCAGGTCTCCCCTCTCGCCCCTCACCGTGGCATTGAGCCTGGCTGGCGCACGGCAAGATGACGTGCTCCGGCAGCTCAGCCACCTATTTACCCTCCTCTCGCCCGGAGCAGGGCTGGGAATAGCAGCAGCATCCCGGACTGGAAAGGCTGCCGGAGCCGGAGAGCCCGGGGGTGGGGGGGGATGCCAGGGCCAGATGCTGCCTCACCTGTAAATGGGCCCGAACTGCTGGAACTTGCGAGCCATGATGTGATGGACGTTGTGCAAGCCGCCCTCCTGCCAGAAGCGGTAGAGGTTGAGCCAGCCGGCTCGCCAGTCACCGGGCAGCTGGTTAAAGGGTCGAGGAGCTGGTGGGATGGGGGGTGCATGCGATGGGGTGGCAGCCCCCCGAGTCTGGCGGCATCCCCCAGCTCGGGCAGGGGGACATCCCCGCAAGGCGCCTGGCTTGGGCGCAGCCCGGGCGAGCATGGGAGCGGGCGGCGGGAGAGGGAGGCGAGGGTGGCCTCACTCTTATCCCGCCTCAGCCGCCGCTCAAGGTGAGATGCTCTCGCCCGCCTCCCGATGAGTCACGGCCGCCCCAGGGACGGGGACAGGCACAGGGCGTTTCGCCCCGGCACCAAGGCGGGCTGACATTGGGGAAGGCAAGTGGGTTTGCCAAGCATTGTCCTCTCCCAGCCTTGCCACAGGGGGCTTTGCCGGGTGATGCACAGATCTCGAGCGGCGTGGGGTGACGAGGGGTGACGCTGGCAGGTGGCCCACGCCACCCCAATAAAAGCGGGTGCTGTTGCAAGCGCTGGAAAAGAAAACCCAGCTGCCAAGGGGAGAAATGTTTTGTCTGCAGAATAAATGATAGAAATGATCTAGGGGACAAAATAGCACGGGTTAGACTTAATAAAGCTCCAGCCTGATGGGTCACCGCAGGAGGGGACAGCCTTGGGGACTGCCTGGCCACCGCCGGGGGCGTCTCACCTCCGCCCACCCCAGGGCAGGGGGTGCTAGGGGAGGCAGGTCCCCCCTTCCCGGGCTCTCCTGTCCCAGAGCATCTCCTGTCGGCTGCCATTTAACGCAGGAACCCCAAACAGCCCCCCCCGCCAGGAGGGAGAGGCGTTT